AAGCAAGGTACAATTCCCTTATGATGAATGCTATCACTATGTATATATAAAATGTACCAATAAAAAAATTCAAGGAAAAAAAAACCTGCCTGGCATATATATGAACTATAAAATAATTTTTGATGCTGATTTACTTGGGAGATAAATCTACCTTTCTTTGTTTTTTGTTTTTATTTTTTTCTGCATTTTAGAGAAGGGTCTATAAGGTATTCAGGGTCTCATTACTAGGTTGGACTCGTAGTGATTCTCCTGTTTATAGCCTCCCAAGTGCTGGGATTACAGGCAGTTGCCACCACGCTCAGTCTCCATTGCTGGCTCAGCATGCCCTAGGTATGGGGCTGGCAAGGCAGGCCTGGGAATTGAACCCCCAACCCCTGTACCTGCTTGCAGGCGCTTTAATCCGCTGAGCTATTTGGCTGGCCCTTCAATCTACCTTTTAGCAACTTTAACTAAAACATTTAATGTAAGGTAAAAGTCTTAAGAACTCAAAAAAAATATATAGTTCACAAAATTTATATACCAAGGCTGAAAACTTAACCTCTTCAGTTATCCCTCTTTGGCTGAACAGCGAACATACTGTAAATATAAATTCACAAAGTGATTATAAAAATTTAAAATATTAGAAATATCATATTTTCAAATGCCTTATTTAAAAACTTATTTAAAATCAATAATTTCCTTTAAAAACTGTAATACAAACAAACATCTGTGTGTTGATATATAACAGCAGGAAGTACTAGGTTAAAAAATAAATTATCAAAGAAATCTGTACCCTTGAAGAAGAATTACTTATGTATTTTAGCTGGCAGCTGCACTAAAACATACATCCCAACAGTAGCTTCCTTACCACTGCCAGTTCTTTTAAGTTCCATCTCCTGCATGTGGATCTTGCTTGGGGTCATACGAATGGGAACTGGATGAACAATTGCAGTATCCTAGAGACAAATGGGATAAATACAAAATTTGTATCAAAGGTGTCAAGCTAATATCATGAAAGAATCAAAACTGACAATAGTGTAAATTAGTAGATTTTTCTCATTGATACTAAGGTAAACATTAAAATTAAAAGCTATATAAGTTTACTAAAAAATGTAGTTCACTTTTATTACAGGCTGATTATCTGGAGTATTTTACAAAGAAAACATTTTCAATTGAGTGATCAAAGATCTGCATAAAAATGTTTTTAACAAAAATACATTTCAAGATAACATTCAAAAGCTAAGTGTGAAATGGCCTAATGAAATTATCTATATGTTAACCCTTGAGGTTAAAGTGAACTATTTCACGAGAATCCAAGACTAAAAACTCACTTTCACTAACTGCTCAAGAAAACTTGAAGCTTTTTCCCATCTATAAAACAAAGACACTGAGATACCTGCTTGTTTCACTGCAAAAGTGGGATTAAGTATAAAAAAAAATACTTTTTTAATGGTTCAAGCTGTTTAAATGTGATTGTCCCAAAATTTAGCATGAAACTTCCATTTTTTAAAGAACAGCTAAGCCTCCTATTCTAACATTTTTCTTACACTATTTCTGTGACTGTAATACATAAGACATTTCTAAACTCCACCAGTGGACATTTAGAGGAGTACAGCTATTGGTAACATAATGAATAAAAGAGCCATGGCAAAGAAGAAGATGAACACAAATGGCAGAGACACAGAGAAGGAAAAGAAAGCAGTCCCCCTGGGGCACGAAGGCCTGGCCCTTGGTCTGAGACCCTGTGGGGGAGGAACCAGAAGCCAATCAACCATCTGGCTTCACAGCAACAGACCAGCTGAGAAAGGATGACCAAAGGAGCATGTTAGGAGGTGCTGTTAATAACTAAATTTGAGGGGCCAGGGAGATAGCTCAGTGGCATAAGCACCTGCCTGGCAAGCATAAGAGTTCAAACCCCAATACAAAAAAAAAAGGAAGTAGCAGCAGCAGCTAAATTTACAAAGCTAAGCATGGTGGTAAATGCCTCTAATTCCAGCACTCTTCCAGTACTTGACATTAGCTGAGCTGAAGTCAGCCTGGGTTACAAAGTAAGCTCAAGGCCAGCCTGAACTGCATAGTGAAATCCTTTCTCAAAAAGACAGAAGAAAAAAGGGCAAACTTCACATTTTAAGTTCTCCCTTTATAACCACTACTTTGGTGAAAGAAGTGAGTTAACACTAAGTTGCTTGGGGGGAAGTTACACTCCTACCTAAGGCCTCCTGCACTTCCTTACTCTAAATTCAAACAATATATATAACAAGTTCTTTACAGCTAAAATCCTGACAGAAGCATCCAAAGTAATTTCTTGCTCCCTCCATCAGTAAGAATCTGAAAAAGGCTCATGTATTTAACCAATAAACCTGCACTAATATTTCCCCAACTTTAAAATTATAAAGATCAAAATTACAGATGGATCAAAGTTTAGATTCTTCATATAATAACAGGTGGCTCTTTAAAATATTTGTAACGATACACTAAAGATCCTGTTTAACTTACAATTAGCTATAAAAACATGGCTTTATGAATGATATTGCTTTTTCTTAATTTACAGTTTAAGAATTATGAAGACTTTTAATCTTCGCTCATCTAGTCTGTTTTCTCGCTGCAGCTTTACCCCATTGATTTCGAGTCATTTTATGTATTTCTTGCTATCTGTGCATATATTTTATATGTTCTATACTGTTAATATTTTAAAATTGATATGATTTTCA